AGATTAGCTTCATATGCTCATAGATGATCAATAGACCTAAAGTAGCAGTAATAGAATGGAGAAAAAAAAAAAAAGGAAATCAAGGAATAATGCTTACTGCATAAAAAATGTGAACATCGAACATGTAAAACATAAATAATTTGCACAATGTAGAAGCTTTTGTTAATAAAATCCAACCCAACAATACTAAAGCGCAAAATCACTCCTTTTAAAATCTCTCCCACACGAGAAAAAAACTTGTTCTTTATCAGTTCAGAGAAACTATAAATGAATACAAAAATAGAGGCTCAAACTCTCAAAAAATAAAGAAATTAAGAAAGGCGCTCCTGAAAATAAGATGAATTATATCTTCAATCTTTGCAACCAAAAAGAAATAAACTATGCGAACAAGAGAAATAGAAAATCAATCCAAAATAGATAGAAAGAAAAAAAATTAACTAACGAATATATAAATACAAGGAAGCTGAGAAAAAGGTACTTAGCTTCGAGTTTAGCAATATAGGTGTTCAAAGCAGTCTTGTCTATGTGTTTGATGGACTCTTCATTGAAGCCCGCTTTTTAAAGTTTTTTCAATATGACTTCATCGCCTAAAGGGGTTCCTATAAGGCCCTCCATGAGCATAGAATGCCGCATATGAAGCACATCATAGCAGCAAACATCCTAATTATTCGAGGTGAGGCACATCATAGCAACTGACAATCACAAGAAGAATTTGGCACGGCAGGGAGCTTGGATCCACAACCTTTCAAATTGAAGATCCCACTACAAGGCAGTGAAGGATGGAACTACAAATGTAGATGCACAAAACCAAACCAGTGAAGTAGAACCACGAAGACATATTGGACACAAAAATACAATATTTTTAGCGGTGTTCAATCACAATAATAGCGAGTAATAGTAATATATCAACTATCACTATAAGATCCAAACACATTTACTAAACTAAAAAAGCGGTTCATGGGTAGACCTTAAAAGGAAAAGGAAGAGAGAGAATGCTAAAGTGACAAACCTACTTAGTAGTAAGGCAACTCAACAAAATGCACGTAATTCAGATATGTAACGATCTCAATCACAGATTCACAGACGACAACATATGAGCTATCCCAACACCCTTATTCCTTTGTTGGCATTTAAAGTGTCCTTTCCAAATCCCCTCAATCACATCTCTAAAAATCTCTTAAGATTAAATAAAATTTAATGGAAGGGAAACTAACTCTTTTTCTCTATGCAAACAAAGAGCGAAGGACAAGAAGTGGATGATTTAGGTAGATGTGGTATTATGAGATTTTAAAAGAATTTAGCTTAGATTGATATGAATTAAGAGATGTGATTATTCATCAAATGTCCCAGAATTTACAAAATTTAAATGAACAAAATAAGTGTTACTTCATAAATCTACATAACAAGACCCTACAAGAATGCCAAGTTGGACCAACGTGTGAAGCAAGAAGCCATCCGACCAATCAAAATGACGCCACAAAATAAAGTCTGGATAGGTTTTGACATAGCCACCTAGCTAGGGTAAAGCTATTTGCCCACTTCTTCTGGGTTCCCACCCAGGCAAGGGCACGTCCTTAAGGTTACAAGGAGTTGGTTTAGCGAAGTTAATAAAACGAACTCTTATAACTCGACTCATTTATTTAGCCCCTGTTTGTTTTGCATTTTCCCCTCATTTTTAGAAGATTTTTGCCTGTTATTTTCCACAAACATTGGCGCACCATCACACAAAGGCAGTCAACAATTGTAGTCGGCAGTTCTGCAACGGTAAGAATACTTTTAAAAATGAAAGATGAAATTTCTCTCAAACATGCTCTTAGAATTATTAGGATCCTTTCAAGCACAACGTGATCGAAGCTACACGAAACACTCAAATATCCTCTTAACTGCGTGACAACATGGGAAATGTGTCACATGGTAAAAACAACTAGAACAAGTAAAATAGGCGATTTATAGAATTTTGTGAAAGTAATAGCCTCATCTATAAGAAAATGGCATGTGCCATAGAATCATCTAGCATAATCCTTAAAATATATTGTGGGTCCATGTTGAGGCGACTCATGTTCATGAATGGTAAAAGGACTAAAAGCCCATAGGCTTGAGAAATCTTTAAATATCCCCAAAAAATTATTGTTCGTCATCTTGTAAGTCTTTGTCGTCATCTATTGTCCATGTAAAACTAATTTTCTAGAGCTTTGGAGATTGAAGAAAGGCAAAGAGAGGTTAAAAGGGATTTGTCGACTTCTATTTTTCAAGGTCAACGAAAAGAAATGTAACAACTTTACCCTTCCAATGAGACATCATATGAGAGTCTCATGCCATTTTACATTTAAATAAACATTTTCGTTAGTTGGAAACATAAATTTCACAATTCTAAAATGTAGAGGTCATGAGTGCAACAAATGATAGGTTGGAATTTTTAACATTAATTCAAAATTAAATAGAGGGGTTGCTTGACACATTTTGAATAAAAATTATAGTAGATTTTGATAAAAATTGAAAAAATGTGTGGTTGATTAAAGTTGATAAAATATATGTATGATTAAATTAATTGTTAATTTTGACATCAATTTAAACAAGTTTTAACAATTTTCAAACAAGCATGAAATATAAAAAATCACTTAGATGCACATATTGCCTGTGTTTGGTGTGGCTTAAAAATTTTAATCAAATTCAACAATTAATTTTAGCCACAATTTCTTGAAATCTATAATTTTATAAATTTGTCAATCATATATTTTATCAATTTTTATCAAAATTTACTAAAAATATAATTTTTAGCTACATGAAGCATGAACATTCTTTTGTAGAATTATTAAAAAAGTGATGATTATTAGTAGTTTGGGATATAATGGACACCATTTGACACTTCATGTATTTTCAAATGCAAATGGACAGAAAATTGTATTTTATTTTAAAACTATAACTCATGCCACAACACGTGGCACAATACTTGATATCAAATGAAGTGTACATGTAGCATGATTGGAACCATAAATCAGGGTTATTTAGTCCATGTTTGACAATTATTAAAATAAATCTTTTATTTTCCTCAAATATATTTGCAACCACACGTTATCATAAAATATTTATTCAAAAAAATTTCCCATTTTTTTTAACCACGCATCCTCCAAAAGATTATTATTTCAAAACACACTAAAAAAAAGTTAATTATTTTAATGTTCGCTTATATTGGTCATAATTACATCTGACGGCAAAAACATTTTAACCTTGACCACCACCTCCACCTGAGTTTCTGACCCCACCTCTTTTCTGATGCTTTTATTTCGAGCCTACGCCATTCCTTCCCCTCCCGGACCTTCCCTTTTCGTTCTCCCATTTAAACCCAATTTTAATAACTGCTAACAGTTTACTCATGAATGGTAATTGAATTCTTGGTGGAGAATATTTCTAATTAAATTAGAATTCCAATCAATCCCGCGTGGATCCAATCAATGGGAGACTCGCCGGAAAATCCGGACTTCGCCGGCGATGTTTTGAGACTGGTGGAGCAGGCAAAGGAGATGCAGGACTCCGCTGCCTCCCTAATCTCACGTACCACTCTCGAAGAAGACGCGCTCCGACAGCGTCTCGCCTCACTCGACTCTCACATCAACTCCCTCCGAAATAGCAAACACGCCGACGACAAGGTACGCATTTACAATATACACAAGCATAATACATGGATGCATCGGGTACACGTTATTCATGCATATACGCTGATTTTTTTTTTTTTCTGTTTTGTTTTCTATTTTAGTTGGAAGAGGAGTTGATTAAAGTGAGATATATACTGAGCGAAGGAGATGCAGCGGCTTTTCTTCCGAGCAAATCGCATGGTTCATTTTATTTTTTTCTGGTTCTACTTTTTTTTATTATGCGTGGAAATGAATGGATGTCGTTTCTTTATTTGTTGTTATGTGGAGCAGGCAAGTTTCTGAGGATGTTTTTAGGGCCCATTAACGTTCGGGCGAACAGGAAGGACTTGAAATTGAAAGTGAAAGAGGAGTACAACAATATCAAAGTACTTTATCATCTGCAAAATGTCAACTTAATGTTTTGCTTTAACTCTGTGTATATTGCTGCACAATTTTACTCAGTAGTGTTATTTTCTTGTTTCGACGATTACTTTGTGGCGATATTCTATCAAGTTATGGCCTTTTGGATATAAGCTTAGACTTCAAACTAATAATCAATTCAGAAACCCCAATTGAGGCCTGCCTTACCATGAGGTGAACAAAAAATGCGCTGATTGCGAGGCATATTTTTGAGGCCTACTGGGTGAGGCACATGCCTCAAAGCTTGTAGAGTGGGCGCACCTTAAATTTATAGACTTACTTTGCTTTAATTGTGGACACAATAAAAATCTTAATTGACCCAATTTGAGACCCCCACTACGCCCGTTAAAACATTAAAAATTGTGTTTCTAATTAACTCACTTTAGAAATAGCCCATTGTCCCACCAACTAAAGTAATATTTTCTTTTTGTTACTTCATAGATTTTTCTTTTATTGTTTGCAAACTGAAATTCTTCTTTCATGAATTTTGAAGATTATTAATGATTTATTAAGCGCTTATTTTTTGATACTACCAAAAATCGTACCTGTTGATTTCCAAGCTTAATAACTGAGAAGGAGCACGAACGAGATCTTCTGGTACTTGAAACAAAGGTGTTGAGGTGTGTCATTGTCGCTCCTTCAATGTTTAAGTCAGAGAGAATTTTTGAAAAAAATATATGCTGAAAATTTATTTTGTAAAAAGCGTGCATAGATATGAATTGGGGTGCTGTATTTATAGAGGTAGGTAGTACATTCCTGATAGCATTAAGTTATTCAAATCCCTAGGAGTTCTACTATGCTTAGAAGTTGGAACTTGATTGGTGTTGCACCATCAATGTGTTTGGATAAAGATAAAACTCCAGTGGTAGAGTCCTTTCAGGGTGAGATAACATATTTATAGCAGGACTCAAACTTCTTAGATTTGGATAAACTTTATCTTACAGAAGCTGATTGGGAACGTTCATACCCGGGGATAGACCGACGAGACTTACATGGTAGAAGATGAATCCCGAGGTGATACGACTGATGAGTTTGTGAGGTTTTTGGTGAAATAGGCAATATTTCTCCTCGGGGTTAGCTGCTCGGGACATGCATATTTTGGATCATCACTGGCCCCTGTACATCTATGCCAAAGGTTCGCGCTCTAGATTCTGGGGTGAGATGTATATTCCAACATCAGGAACGAGCAATACTGGAGATAGGCTGGTTAGAGGCATGATCAGCCTTTGGAGATAGGCATGATCAGCCTTTGAAATATGACTGATCAGCCTCGTAAATAGGCATGATCAACCTTTTAAATAGGACTGATCAGCCTTGAAATAGGACTGATCAGTTTTAACGAGCGACCCTTTGGATGGGACTGAGGAGTAGTGAGTCAGCAAGGGAACTTCAGAGAGAATGTCACGTGGCCTCCATATTCGAGCTAATGATTGCCCCATTCGGATGATTGCCACATGACAGGGGTTGGAAGGTCAGGATTGAGGGACCTTTGATCTTCTTCAGAATCCTATAAATAGCCCCTACCCTACCTCATTTGTCATTTTTCACTCTCCAAACATTCCTCGGACCACCTTGGGTTTAGGCTTAAGGTAAGAGCTCGTGCCCTTTGGATAATTTAAGTTTTTTATTTTTCAAAAATGTCTAGCACTAGTAGTTCATCAGGCTTGGGTTCATCGCCCGACGACGAGGGTAACTCCCTCATCCCCTACGCAATCCCTATAGATAGCCACCCTGCCCTTTCATTTCCCGATCTACGCTGCAGATATAAAGAGCACGAGGTCATTGGGATAGCTCGGGAATTTAGGATAATGTCGACGTGTGACGTCCGTTTGCTCGAGCCCGAAATCAGGGTTACTAGTGCTCGAGAGGGTGAGATTGTCGTTTTTAGGGAAGCCTTAAAGGGGGCTTAGGTGGGCCCTCCATCCTTTTTTTATTGAATTCTTGGTCAAGCATAGTATGTGTCCCGGGCAATTAGTTCTAAATGGATGGAGGTTGCTCGTATATTTTTTTTATAGCATGTAAGTTCTTATCTATAGTCCCGAGGTTAGACCTGCTCAGGATGATCTTTGAGTCCCGAGGTCGGTCTGTGGCAAGCTCGAGATGAAGTGGGAGTGGCCAGGGATGAAGCCGAGGAAGCCAAGGTCGAGAGTAAATCAAAAGAATTTGGGATTAAGCTTGAAGAGGTTCGAGTCAGGGTCGTGGAGGACTTCAAAAAGTCTGAGGAGTTTGGGGCATTGAAGGGCGACTATGCTTTAGGATCATACAACTATGAGTTCAAACAAGCTCGAGCCTACCTTCATTCCAAGCCGCTCAAGGTCAATCCTGATCAGCTGCTGCCTATACCTGAAGTTGTTGAAGGGCTCAAGATTTCTTCTTCTGAAGGTACAATGGCCGAGGACGCGACCGCGGTAAGGATGGGGAGGAAGTCGACAGACCCCCGAGCAACGAGGTTTTAGATTAGGTCTTGTTCCTTTCCCCCGAACTTACATTTGAAAGTTTTTGTAAATGTACAAGTACATTGATCGACCAGGAACGTGTTTGTTTTTGTTAATTGCACGCACAACTATTTTCATTTGTATATGTAAAAGCTTAAGTAATATGTTAAGAAAGTTGGACGATAACAAAGCAACAATCTCGAGAAGCTTGAAAATTTAAAGCTCACTCGGCAAGTTTAAGCCATTTAAAAATTGGCAATAACAAACAATCTCGAGGTACTAGAAACTATGGAGATAGAACAGTTTAAAATTGGACAATAACTACGCAACAAGCTCAACCACTTCCGAACTATAAGATCGATTAGTTTTTAGGAAGATTTTGAAGTATCCAGTTAGAAACTTGAGGGCCCTGAAGCTACAAAGCTCGAGTAACTTTTAGAATAGAATAATCAAGTTAGAAACTCGAGGAGCTTGAAGCTGCAAGGTTTTATTTGAAAGTATGAGCATCCTAAGAAGATTTTCAGATTACCAAGTTACAAGCACGAGGAGATTGAAAATGTTAAGCTCAAATAGCAAGCTCAAGCAGCAAGATTTTTAGATTATCAAGTTACAAACTCGATGTACATACCTGAGCAACATAGTATACCCAGTAATCTCGAGCATTAATCTAAATGAGATGGCCACTCGAGTGCTCGGGCTATGTGGTTGGGGTAAGGTTTTGTGGTGCCGTTCGAAATGAAAAAAAAAAAAACTTTATTGGGATAGAATCCGGACTCTGACTAATCAAAACAAACTCATCCTATAGAATCCTGACGCTGACTAATCAAAACAAACTCAACCTACTTAAAAATTGAGCGTCAGCAGGTATACCCGACCAACTAAAAGGTAAAAAGACGCGGGACGTGCAAGCTCGACAAACCAAAGAAAAGAGCAAAAAAGAAAAACTAATAGGTAAAGGTAAAACAAACTATTTGTAATAAATCTTCAAATTATCAGCATTCCACGGCCTGGGGAGTGGTTTTCTCGAAGTGTCTCTTAAGCTATACGCTCCTTTGCGGACCTATCTTATGATTTCAAAAATCGTACCTGTTGATTTTCGAGTTTAATGACCGAGAATGAGCACAAACGAGTCTTCTGGAACTTGAAACAAAAGCGTCGATGTGTGTCATCATCGCCCCTTCGATGCTTAAGTCGGAGAGAGAATTTATGAAAAAATATATGCTAAAAATGATGTAAAAAGCGTACTTAGATATGAATTGGGGTGTTGTATTTATAGAGATAGGATTAAGTTATTCAAATCCTTAACCCTGAGGGGTTGCTCAATTGGTCAGGCCTTGGGTTTGCTCCCCAAAGGTCACCAGTTCGAGTCCCCTCAAAGCCACTGAGGTGAGTATCCGGTCGTAAACTTCAGGGCCCCGTGGAATTAGTCGAGGTGCGCGCAAGTTGGCTTGGACATCCACGGTTATAAAAAAAAAAGTTATTCAAATCCTTAGGAGTTCTGCTATGCTCAGAAGTTGCAACTTGATTGGTGTTGCACCATCAATGTGTTTGGATAAAGATAGAACTCCGGCGGTAGAGTCCTTTTAGGATGAGATAGCATATTTATAACATGACTTAAACTTCTAAGATTTGGATAAGCTTTATCATACAGAAGCTGATTGGAAATGTTCATACCCAAGGGATGACCGATGAGACTTAAGCGGTGGAAGATGTGCTCATGGACCCGAGGATCAACAATCCCAAGGTGATATGACCGAGGAGTTTGTGAGGTTTTTGGTGAAATAGGCAATATTTCTCCTCGGGGTTAGTTGCTCGGGACATGCATATTTTGGAATCATCGTTTTTCATTTTAATATATATTTTTTTATCTTTTTAATTTACGGCGAGGCTTACGCCTTATGCTTCGCCTCATAAAGTTAAAATGTCTAAGTACTCAATTACGCCTTTTTTAACATTGAGCACCGTTTGACAACCATTATTTGAAAACTTTTTTTTTTTCAATATACTCATTTTAAGTCACACATTCGCACAATAAATTATTCTGCTGGTAAATCCAAAATTTTTTCTCTATTTTTTAACCACACATTCTCCTAAAAATCACTATTTAAAACATTGTTTTTTCCCAAATAATGGCCATCAAACAGTGGCTGAATCAATTTATAAAAATCATTGTTTATTACATTTTTATGAATGTAATAGTAAGATACTTGGTTACTACAGTGTATGCCACTTTTTGCCTGGACTACCTGCCACATAGAGCTGTCAAGTTTCTGATCATGAAGCCCTAGTTTGACTCCCTTTAAAACAAAACAATTTATTTTTCATACCCATTTTCAACCATACATTCAAACAATAAAATATTTTGCTTGAAAACTCAACTTTTTCTACTTTTTAACTGCACATTATCAAAAAAAAAAAAAACCACTATTCAAAACATCATTTTTGCACAATAATGGCCATCGAACAGGGGCTAAATCGCATGACAAGAATGTAATGTAAGGTGAAAAATTGGATGTACCTAATTATCAATTAAGTAGTGGAATGTTTGAAGTTGTATGAGGTTCTGATGATTGTAATTTGTAACTTGTAATCTCGGCGCTAGGAAAGCAGGACTTAAGCAAGCTGATGATTTCTGTATTGCGAAATTCACTAGTGTCTCCAATTAGGTTGTGTAAGGACGTAAAAAATACTTGCAATGTATACAAGTTTTCTCTGGAATTACTATCAATGTATTCACCAAAGGCATTATCTTATTATCTCTCGTTCGATGCTTTCCTAGTCATTTGATAGAAAGCTTTAATACCTGGTTAATAAATGTTTCCTAGTTCTTGATCACTACTACGATCGTATTGCAGGATAGAACGGCATATTTATTCCTCTTTTTCCCATCACTGTTGCTGGTTTTAAGGTCGTGGATTTGGAATGGATGTCTGCCTGCATTGCCAGTTCAACTTTATCAGGTACTATGTCTCAAGAAACTCTCTTCCCCAGGCTTATTTTTTCCTTTTGATGGATGTTCATTCATTTTCTGCGAAACTAGACTGAGCATATATGCCTCTACTCAATTTTTTTCTTCTAGGCATGGTTGCTGTACCTCTACACTGCTTTGGCATTGAGAGAAAACATTCTGAGAGTTAATGGAAGTGACATACGGCCATGGTAAGTGAATATATTTTATACTCTTTTTGTGAGAATTTGAAGTGCAACATCTTACTTGACTCTTGGGAAGTTACGCATTTTTTCTTCTCTATCTGCATATTTTTGAGAATGTTTGGTATGCTTTTGCATTTTTCCTAGGATTAGAAGACTGATTTTTTATTTTTTTTGGGTCTCCTGCCTCGATGGTGGGAATTTGATGTAGAATGTATAAGTGTGTTGGTTCAAATATTGTTAGTTACTACTACAAGAAGTGTGCATGATGACAAGCTTGAGCTGAAGTCAACGCAGTCATTTTTCTAGTGGCAAGTGCAACACTAGTTCACAAGAAAAGTTACTGCATCAGGCCTTTTTCCTAATGGGAAAAGGAATTGTGGCATTCTAGCTATGATAAATATTCACTAGTTTATGAAAAAGCCATATCCTTAATTTATATAGCAGCATTAAGTTGAAAGATTGATGCTCGTAGAAGTAAAATCACCGAGTCGTTGGGTGAATGGGTAAGTACTCTGTTTCTTACTAGGTATCGTCTTTCAATTTATTTTTAGCAGCAACATGTAGGATGATGACATAGAAATGGTGAGAAATGCATTGCGATGTGGTAATTTTCTCTACATAAAGGCAAATTGATTATAAACTCTAGCAATTATTTTATTACATAGCTATGATTACGTGCATAGCTATGTAATAAAATAAGTGCACTTGGCCTACTTAATCCCATAGTTCCGGTTGCCAATGAAATCATGGATGTAGGATTATAACAATGATGGTCCTAGATTCATCTCAACAATTGGGACTGTATGTTTTCCAGCCAATTGATTGTGGTAAAATGTCGATTGAAGTGTTCTCTTTTTCTTCTGGGATATATGTTGGTTGAATCATGCTTGATATGGTGAAAGACTTGCTTTGATATTAAAGAAAATAAACTGTGATGGAGTTTGTAAGATAGTCAAGTTTTGCACCTAACCTACTGTACTAGCAGAGCAACCAAGAAAGCTTACCTTGTAATTGTTAAATAAAAGGGATGTGCTAGCATTTTGGTTTTTCATTTAGGGGAGTTAGTTTCAGGAGAAGGTATGAACTTCTGTTTTGACTTGTTTTTGTCTGGATTCCTATTCCTATCATACCTTTTATCTTGTAGATAATATTTAATTTTATTTTCTAGACTTGGTTTATGAATGGTTTTGCACAAAAAGGTTCAAGTTATGAGATTATGCCCTTGTTTGAGCTCCATTTTATTGTGAAAATTAGTTTTGTAAGTGATTTTTGGAGAATGTGTGGTTAAAAAAGTAAGAAAAAGTTTTAGGTTTACGTGTAAAATTACTTTATTGGAATAATGCAGGGTTGAAAATGAGTTTGAGGAAAATGGGGCTCAAACAGGGGCTATGTTTTACTTGTAAAATTGACCCATTGTTGTGGTATGAGCCCTTTTTGATGGGTATTTTGTTGAGTTCCATAATTGTTTTATATTCATTTTACCTTTGACTTGCTATTTATAGATCTTTCATGGTCAACTAGCTAACATTTTGACGCAACATATAAAGTATAGTATATTCTAGGAGTAGAAGAAATCAAATCAATTAGGATTTTATAGTATTTTCTTATTTTCTGTTATTGCGTTTTATTACAGTTAAGAGACAATTAATTTTGTTTCCTTTATAGAGGAAACTCTTAGTTTTCCTTATTAATCCTAGTTTAGACTCTATATAAGGAGGCTCTTTGATTGTAATAGACACACCATTATTATGGAATACAATTATAATCTCCCTATTAATCCTCTCTTCCTTCCCTTCCCTTCCTTTCCCTTTTTCTTAAATTTTATTTTGATCCTTACTTCAGTCTTCTATTTGCTATCGTAGCCTAGCGCTCTCTTTTAACTGAATTGTTCCTTGCGTCAAATACTACAGCAGCCTCCCCTACCACCCAACCATTCACAACTAAATTATTACCTTCCTGTTGCCTCCAATCTCCAAATGCCCTTCAATAACAAAAGAAAAAAAATCTTCAAATAGGGCAGCAACAAACAAAATTAATTTATGCTTAGTTTGTTCATCGTCATTCGTAAAAAAAGTTAGAAAATTTCAATTGCAGGTACAACATCTTGCTGCCTAATTTTGGAGCTCATCAACACACAATCGACATTTACACTAAACCCACTATCCACAAACCCTAGGCCCCTAATATCAACCGAGAATCCACCAACAGGCTCAAAACCCAGTAGGACCTTGCCTAACAATCCATTCCCACAAGTCCAATTATCTTAACTGGCTTTATCAAACCTTAAACCCAGCCCAATACACCATAGCTTGCCAAATCTCACATAGCTCACCCTTCCGAAACATGCTATTCCCCATCTCTTGTTACACACTCTTTCACTGACATCTCATTCACTCATCTCACTTATCTTTCATATCGATCGCCATTTGCTCTTTCTATTGTTGTATGATCTCCTTATTCACCTACGTTTCTGGCGTGCTTTATTGTCGTTACTGCCTCTAACCCATTCGTGGAATTGTGCTCTTACCATTGTCGTCTCTTTTTCGATCGAAGTCGCTTCCAACTTCTTGTTGTTTATTTTGCTATCAAGCCCACTACCACCTTCTTACCGGTTCATAGCAATGGTCTTGCCGTCAACACCACCTTCAATCGCCATCTCTCACTTTTGTTGTTATCAGAAACCACCTTCATCCACACCATCAGTCTCTGTCATTGCCTCTCTCCCTCTCCGTCGACCCTTTGTGTTTTTTGGTAAGGTTTATTTCTGCTTTAGGAAATTTTCTTCTACTTAAATGCTATTTTAGTAGATTTTGTTTTAGTTCCATTTAAAAAATAATAAAAAAAAATATTAAAAAAAACAAAAACAAACTATAAACAGAGTTTAGGTTACTGTATTTAAAAAAATGAAAATGACTGTTAGGGAGCTTGAATAGTCTCATGATGCCATCTCACATCAAGTTGCCAATCTTTCGACTGACACGACGTTGGTGAAATTTGATCTAGCTAAGCTTAAGTCTATCATCTACCACCTCTTGGTAGACATGTTGAGCAATTATCTCGAAGCTTGAGTAAACGTCCTATGGATGATTTGTCTGGATCCTCTATTGTAGGTCAAAACGTTCATGATATGCTTCGCCACCCACATTCTTGGTCCTAGGCACCACATCTCCTATTCGAAACATCATGATCCATATGTAAATGATGCACCTCGTCCAAAATTCCTTCCCCCACATTATGACCAGCATAGGGACCTTGTTGATGACATCATTAGGAAAATTAAAGTAGACACCTTTAAAATTGATGGCCAGCCTAGAACTCAAAGCCTTTCTTGACTCAATGCTACCTAAGCATTTTTCAATTGGTGCCAAATTCCATTACTACCAGCGTACTTGTTTCGCTAAATGAAACTTGTTAAATTTGCCGAACGTTATTGGTAGACGGTTACTCGAACCCTCGAACGCTTAGGTCAACCTATCACTATATATGAGGAAATGAAAGTAAAGCTCATAGAGAAGTATGTCCCGTCTTACTATCAATCTCAACTCGTAGAACGTCTTCTTAACCTTTGGAAAAACTCCTCGATTGTTTTGGAGTATAGAATCCATTTCAACGAGTTATTGTACTGTTTTGACCTTGGTTGAACTCGAGGATGTTACTATCAAACCGATTTTTTAACAGCTTGAGATCCTACCTTAAACATCAAATCCTTGTGATCAGCCCTAACTCCTTAGAAGATGCTTTCCACAAAGCCCTTGAACATGAGTGGTACTTGTTACACAAAAATCTCGCAAGCGTACGAGTTCGTTGTACAAGTAATAATTGTGATGAGTGACTTATCGTCCCACAGAGAATAAGGCTCAATTTTAGAGTATTAGATATATTTAAATTCGCAAATGTAACAAAAGATGATTGATTTTTAGTTGACTACGTTCTATAACGACGAAATTAATAAAAAAAATGGTTTTAAATCAAATGTGGGTGAGTGTATTGGATTTCCGACTCCACTAATCAATTCTTAATTTCAATTCTCAACCAGTGATAATTAATTCGATTCATGCAATTGCGACGATCGATAATTCCACTTTCATTTACTATTCTTTCCCAAGATATAATAAATCTATGATTGCCACGAGATGATCCTATTCCTAGTCCGAATTCATATGACAAGCAAGCATTGACGTTTAGGATTATCACACATGACCGCACACGCCATAAATATTATTCCTAATATTTATT